AAGGTATTTATGGCACAGAGAGACTCGTGCTGTGGGGACTGCGGAGCACGGGGGGCAGAGCGGGCCTGGGGGGGGACATCAGCACAGCAACTACACTGAGACAGCTGCTCTGGGAGCCACTCACCTCGGGGGCTTTGGTTTGAGAGTCTCTGCTTCCAGTTTTGTGTCGAGCGAGCCCCTGCCAGGTGTTTTTAACTAGTGCTGAGACTGGCTGAAAAGACTTAAGTCAGAGTCCACGCTGAAACGTGTCAGTGGCAGCAACCCTGGCAGAGATCCCACTGGGAGATCTCCTGGGGTTTGGTTTGAACAAGGATCTGTCAAGAACTGTGGGATGACAGCAGCTGGCTGGGAAAACAGGACAGAATTGCCTCCCCTGAGCCAGGCACTGTTCCTTCAAGCAGCAATTCTCAGACTGATTTTCTGCACACCGTGGAAGCAAAAAGTCCCACCTCTGGATTAGGAAGTGGTTTCGTTTCTGTCCTCACTGGGAAAAGCAGACACTGACTGACAAGAGTGCTCCTGGTTAGAACAGTTAGTGCAGCAAATCCAAAGGTCTTGATCAAGCACCCAGACCCAAAGTGTCTCCAGTCACTACCTGGAAAAGAAATTTCTACCTTCTTGTGCAAAGGTAAGAGTAAATTTCTATGCAGGATATGTGGACGGTGCTGAGGAGTCAAGGAGGCTGGAAAGTCTATCCCCATCTACACCCAGACAAGCTGCTGAACAGGGTCTGTCTGACAAGAACACAGAGCAGCCTCCCAAAATTAGCATTCCAGGCTTTTCCTAGAGAGGATATGCCAAATGCAAGGCATAACTATTTCAGAGCCAGTTTTGTGCCAGGGCTTCAAATCCAGCAAAGCTTTGTGCTTTGAAACCTTTTCCCCTCTTTAGTACAGGCTCATATTACACTGAAGGCATGTTGCATATCTCTAAGGTTTGCCTTTATTGGATCTAAAACAGACAAGAGGGCTCAGGTGTCACCCAGCAGACAGGCATAGCCTGAGCTGTGTGTAAATGCAGACTCTGTCAGCAGCAGTTCTGGTGTGTTAGGGGAGATCAAAGCCCTGTGACTTTTTTTTTTTTTTCTCTTCTCCCATAGGACTTAAGGGAGCCAGAAAGGATTTTTGCAGATGTTAGTATCAGTTAATATCAAAGTTTTGTGACTGAAGCGTGCCTGGGGTTAATTGCAGAGCACCCAAAAACATGGTTATCCTGTTAATAATCCACAGCTCACTCCAGTCCTTACCACTGCAGGTACCTTTTTCTCTCCTAAGTAGAACGTGCAGCCCCAGCAATGCCCCTGTCTTGGGCATCTTACACCTGAAATAACCTGCTTTTTGGTCCTCCCTAGACACAGGTGCTGCACTAGATGCACTTGGTATCCACTTCAGGAATGCCTGATGGCACAGCAGTTATCCAGGCCTCAAATCCACCCTGAGCTCAGCCCAGATGCCACAACCCCAGCAGCTCCTTCAAAGGTAAGCATTAGGTGTGTGTTTATCAGGGGTGAGGTTGTATCAAGCCAGGATCAGTGATCTATGTCCCTTCTTCCATAAAAACAGATATCCAAACTGGCAGATTGAAGCCTCCTGCTCCCCCTTCTCCCTCCTCCCACCAGGGAGCATCATCTCACCTGGCAGGAATTAGGCTCCTAGCTTTGCATGCCTGGCTGGAGAAATGCCTGCTTCAAAAACCCCTGGTTTTTTTGGGTTTTTTTTGTTTTTTTTTATATTGTTCCTATCCTGCAAATCAAACCCCAGCTGAGCTCACCTGGCAGATGTGCAGTGCAGGGTGGGAAGGTCAGAGGGAGGGCTGGGCAGGGAAGTGTGTCTGCTGCGGAAATAATGTGGGATTTCTGGCACAGGGAAGCAAAACCCTGACAGGGGGGAAGCCAAGCTACGACTTGGCTGGGATGCTGAGGGAAGTAGCACCCCCTGGAACATTATTCAGGTTGCTCAACCTCCCTCCTAAAAAGCATTACTGATTTCTCCAGGAAATACAATCGTGGTCCCAAACTGTCAATGGCTCCACAAGGAATTAAACCTGTCAACTGGGACTGATCAGGAGCAGGTGATTCCTATCACAGCTTTCTACACAAAGGCATCTAAGTGAAAATACCTCCAGGTTTTGTTTAAACCCTCACCTTTAATCTGAGTTTTGCTTGAGCCCTCATCTTTAGTGCCATTGTGGGTTTTGCCTTAAGACCTTGCTTTTCCCCTTTTTTATTATTACCGTGATAAATTAAGAGGCAGTAAAAGGTCAGGAATCCTATCCCACTCCAAGCCAAGTGGGAAAAAGAAAGTAAATAACTAGAAATCTGAGAAAAAGAACCCTAAAGCCTCCAAGACAAACCTCCCTCAGCCTGAAGGATGCTGCACGTGGCAAGGCTCTGGTTGGTGCCCAGAACAAAGGACTGAACGTTGCTGTGTGTCAGGAGAGATGTCAGATGTTAAAAACCCAGTCTGATGTGCAGGTAGAATAAATATTAGTGCTTGAGATTGTTACAGCTGCCAGTGCAGCCTCAGATTAATTTAACAGAGCTCGTGCAAGGCTGTCCCTGGGGCCCAGCCTGAGGGAGGGAGGGGAGGAAGGAGTCAGAGAGAACATCCCAAGCCTAAAGCCGTGGCCAAAGCTGGAAGGATGCTGCAGAGAAAGGATGCACTGATGAGGGAGTGGATTTCTTGCCTCCCTAACTCTAAAGAGAACGTGAAATTGGTGAGAAACCAACCCTGATCAGCAGCATCTGCTTGTGACCCTCTGGGACAGGTGGGTTTCTCTGCCTCCTGACTGATCAGATCCAGCCAAGTACAAAACCCTCCCAGCCAGGTGGAAGAGACCTCAAAATCCCAGATTTCTTTCATTATGTGTCCTTTTTAATTTTCTGGCATGGGCAAGGTGAACCACAGGGCCTCCTCTCTGCTGTCTTGCTTGGTGAAAGTCTAGAGAAGGGGAAGATGGGCAGCGGGGGAATTTTCTGTGCTTAGCAATTGTGGGAGGGAGTAACGGGGGAAACAGGACCCTGGGACAGTCTGGCAAGTCACAGTGGGGAGTCAGGGCCCTCCTGTCCCAAGATGAGCCACAGAATGCCCTTCCCAGGCACTAGCACCTCAGTGTCATTGTACAGCAGCCATTTCAGCAGCCTCCCTGGCAGAAAGTCAGGGAGCAGTACAGTAGTCAGCAGCATTAAATTAAATAAATAGTCATAAATACACGTTACTCTCTAGTTTTTCCCCAATTGTACCCTTGCTTTCACAGTCTTAAATGTCTTTTTGACAACCTGTCTTCATCCACACTCCTTCAAATGTGAGTTTTCTGTGGGACATGTTGTGTTTAGCACTTGGTCATGGGAATTGGGAGGCAGGTTGGGAGAAAGCAGCAGGTTGGTTACTCCTACATATTAATTACCCTTCCCTAACTGGACACTGGGAGCTTGAGAGGGTTTTAGAAGCCACTTTTTGTCACCCAGTTGTGAGCATGAGACCAATTGCTCACCCTTGTGTTCCCTGCCCTTTCAGTGCCCACTGGAGGCAACAGAGGAGCTACAACTGCACCATTTCCACACTGGGAACTTGCAGCTGCCTCCCTCCTGCCACTCAGAAGGAGGGAAGATCCTGCTGTTGGACAAGGTGGAGAGGGAGGACCTCACCTGTCACCTAATCTGCCTGGCTGGGCAGGATGAAAAAGCATTTATTAAACATTCACAAAAACATCCTGCAGCCCAGCCAGTCTCTGTGGGGCTTTGGGACTCTGCACAGTGCAGGCCCACTGCCCCTCTTCCCCATGGGAGTCTGGAATTATCCCCTAGAACAGCTACAAATGCAGTTTGGCTTTTTAGTGCAGCTCTACCCCCTGACTGACTCCCAGAGCAAATGCTTATGAGAGAAACCTTCAGATGCCTCACAACCATGGACACCCCCCCAGCTCTGTCCTGCCACCCACTGATGGTCCCTTTTCTCTTTATTTGGTCCCTGTGACCCTTCCTGACCTCTCCTGGGTTTTTGGAAGCCTTGGTGCACACAGATGCAGTCACAGATATCCACAGTGATGGCTGTTGCTGCATAGCTACAAACATGTAAATTTATCCCAGGGAAGGGAATTTATAAGACAAGGTATGAACCCAACGGTCTTGTAGACCCAGGGGCAGGAGAGAGTTTTGCTGAGCTGGGTGGTGGCTGCACATAAATCCTAATTTGGGGGGGGGTTGTTTTTAAGTTGGGGGTAACTCCCACCCTCGTGGGGAGCTGCCTGTTCAGCACAGATGCAGATCTTCAGCACAGGGATGGCTTTAATGGCAGGGGCCCAAGCACGTGGAAAGCAGAGAACAGCAGCCAAGGCAAAGGGGACACTGTCACAGGTGTGGCTCTGCAGGCAGGTAACCCCCCTCCCCACCCTCTCCTCGCCTCTCCCTGCTGCACCAACAGCAGGAGGGCAGGATTTCAGCTCCTTTCCATGCTGTGCCTTGCTCTGTGACCCAGGCTGTGACAGCCAGTTGTGTTTCTGCACCGAGGGGTGCAGTGGGTGATGGCCAGGGAGATCTGATCCCCGAGGCCTCCTCTCCAAACGTGGAACAGTTTTGCCAGGGATTGGCTGCCGTGGCCAAGCCCTCTCTGCCCTGAAGCCAGCAAGGTAAGGAAAGTTGACAGTGCCCCCTTTAATGCAGAGATAAATACAGTCAACCAGGGACCCTCATGCGCGGGGAGGGGGCTGGGGAGGGAGGGGAGGGGGGGGCACTCACGCTGATGCTTCCCTTTGGAACAACAAAAAACCAAACAGACAGACAGACAAACAGCCAGGAATATTACAGAGGAGCAGTGCAGGGCCCAGGGAGCACCCCTGGGCTCGGCCCTAAGTACAGCTCAGTGCTGGGAGAGCACAGCCCTCCCACACACACACACACACACACACACTCCCCCCACACTACCAGAGACGCTCCAGTTCAGCCAGTGTTGGAGGTCACAACCCTTCCCCTCGATACGTAGGCTTGGTTTTGTTTTGTTTTGTTTTTCTCTTAAAATCTGTATATAATATATATATTTATATTCTGTATATATATATATATATTTATATATATATTTATATATCCTATTTACACATATTGCACACCGTCCTCTGGCCTCCTGCATTCCTGCCTGTCAGTGGAAACGTTTCCGTTTCTCCTCTGGATCTGACCCGAAGTCCCGGGACCCGATGCCATTCTGAAGGTTTATTAGGGAATCCTTCATCTGCAAGACAAAGAGATTTCCCCACTGTGATGGATGTGCAAACCCTGGTGGTGAGAGCTTTGGGACTTCCTTCTTCTCCCTACAGAGTGTCCACACCAGCTTCAGTTTTGGGAGCAGGGCTGGGATGGACAAATGGGGACTGGAGAAGGTGGGGAGACTGTGAGGCACCTTTCTCCAAGGGAAGGGTTGAGAGAACGATGTTCAGGAGGAATTTATGGACTAATTTTCTCAGCAGCCTGCTGGCCAAAAGGCTTTTTAGGCAGTGGATACTGCAGCTTTGTGCTATGAAGGGCCCTTGCAGAGTGTGCTCCCTTCATCCAGGAAATCTGCAAGTGAGTCCAGAGCTGACGTAAGAAACAGTCTTTCTTCCAAACTGGGATGCCACAGACTGAATTCAAAACGTGCCAATGGGAGATTTTTGGCAGAATTCTCCCTTTGGTGTGCACGGACCCCTCAGATGTGACAGAGAGGCCGTGGCACCCTGTGACAGCCCTTGGCACCTGCTGCCCACCACCAGGAGAGAAGATGGGTCTAAAGGAGACACCGGTGGAGGTGACACACCCTGAGCGACCACAGTGGAGCCAGGTAATGGGAGCAGGGGCTGGGAGGACAGGGTGGGGTCTCACCTGGTCCAGAAGCATCACGGAGGATTTGATGATCTCCCGCCACTTCTGCAGCTCCGAGTCGTGGTACTTCTGCTGGGACTCCAGCAACTGCGCCCACTCTGTCTGGGACTGGGGCAACCTGGCAGCACAGCAGGGGCAAGAGTCACTCTGGGCAAACTGCAGAGGGTGTAACCAGCTTCTGGCTAAGCTTTTCACCCCGAAGGGGAGGGTTTTCTTGAGCAAAAGTGAATTTCCATCAGCTGGATTCCATGGCTGCTGACAGGGAATGATGCCACGCCATGTGATGCTGTGGGGCAGGGCAGCCCTGCACAAGTTTCTGTGGTTTGGTTTTTCTAGCCATGCCCTGTCAGTCTTTATGAATCTCATGTAATTTGTTCAGGACTTTCTCTTTATTTTGAATTAAAGCTCCACTGGCTCTCTTTTCCATGGCTCTCTTCCTTCAGGCCCAATTAACCCCCAAGAACAGGGTGGGAGACATCAGGACAGATGGAAGTATTCAAGGTGCTTGGACAGGTTCAGATGCTTCCATAAAAATCATGGATGCAACACAAAACTTACCTGTGTGGGGCAGGGAAAGATGTACCCATGTAATTCCAAAACACGCACATTACAGATGTAAGTTCTGTACTTAAATACTGTATTGTAGTCTAAATAAACACCAAGACTACTAGAGGAAGATAAAATCACTTAAAGTATCTATAATCACCTAAAGTATCTATCCATGGGAAAGCAGCAGGGCTGTTTTGGGGAAAATAATAATTCTCTTCCCTAATAAAGAGAAATGAGAAAGCCCTTGAGACAAATCATGCAAAAAAAAAATCAACACAATGGTAGAACGTGGCTAGGAATGATGGAGTCAAACCCAACACAGCAAGGGAACAACTGGGACTGCAAGAAAGGGACATAAAGGGGCAAAAACACCTTAGATAAGTGGATTCAGATTATTCTCAACCTCTAAAAAAAAACCCTCAAGAGACCATTCAGGCAGGATACCTGGCACTTAAGGACATGACATAAAAAAAGCATCACTTAAAAGTGCCAGAAGGAATCCAGAACATCACTGGGCATCATTATTAACAGGCATGGGACATCAAGGTCACCACTGGAAATGCCACCTACAACAAGGTCCTCTAGAGCCTCTGACACTGGCCAGGATGGGGGAGCTGATACCATAAATATCATAAATACCATAAAACCTGGGAGAGCCTCTACCCTCCCTCAGCCAAAGCCCAGGCAGGTATGACAGTACCTCTCCTGCAGCCTCAAGCCCTGCCATGCCGTGAGGGTCTGTGTGGTGTATTCCAACATCCAGAGCTTGTAGAACAGCATCATGTTGAGAATGACCAGCAGCACCAGACTGGAAAGAGGGAAAAACAGCCAGTTCAGCAGGAGCACTTCCCAGCCCCACACTGCCAGGCACACCTGGGAAATGCCCAAGGCTTTGAGAAGGTGTCTGAGGCCCCAGGTCCACGCTGCATGGGAGTGGGAGCTTAATCTGAGTAAGGACCAGGTGGGTCAGAACCCAAAACTGCACCTCGTGGAAGAAATGTGTGAGCAAGGAGGACAGAGAGACAGAAAGACAGGGATGAGGGATCAGCCAGAACAGGTTTGGATGGGTGGATGTGCTGAATGCAGAGAAAGAGAGGGAAATGGGAGAGTAAAGAGGTAAAAAAAGAGAGAGACAGTACCTGAAACAGATCCTAATGGGAGCAGGGAAGAGAAAAGACGGAGCAGCTGCAGGTTAGAAACGGACTGACACAGAACAGGAGAAACTGGGCTGAGAGGAGGAGGCTCATAGACAGTGCAGGAGGTAGAGAGAGGGCCAGGGGAGGAGAAAAGAACAGTGGGAAGAGAGGCAGGAAGGACAGACAGATATCCCTGTGCCTGCATTCCTGGTGCAATTCACCCAGCAAAGCTGAGCTGTGGCTCTGGGGGACGAGCCTGAAGTCTGACACACACAGCCAGCAACCCCCATTCCCAGCGCTGCTGGCACTGGGAACACCACCACAGCCAGGCCCTGCACTGCCCCTCTCATCTACCACCACCACACCACGGGCATTTCCTCTCCTCCTGGGGGATAGATTCCAAAATACCAGGCTGGTGCCTGTTCCTGAACAGAGCAGCTATTCTGCTGGAAGAATGGCCCACTATCACCAGCTCAGTCAGGAGGATGGCAGCTGGCCAGGGGAGCGTTCTGAAATCATCATCAGGGCGCTCTGACCTAAGTGAAGCTCACAGCCTGTCAGGAGAGATTTTCATAAAGCTTTTTTTTTTGTACCTTTCTACTATTTTCTTATCGTGACAGGACTTGACATCACCTTCCCAGCCACTGGCTGGGTTGCTGCTGCAAAACTTCTGTAGTCAGTGCCCCCACTGGGAAAAGGAAACACGGGAAGGAGCTCAATTTGAACTGTTAAGTTCAGTCTACAAGTTCCAGCTTCTTCCCACCTCACTGAAAGGTGGCTGGAGCTTAAGGAAAGACTGAGCCCAAGGCAGGAAAAAAACCCCCCCTGTACCTGGATTGCTCCTTTAGTCTGGACTGCTGCACAGCAACCACTGCAGCACCAACACAGGGAGCTCACCCAAGAGGCAGAGAACCAGCAGATACACCTGAGTTCAGGTATTACACTGAGCCACAGGGTAAAGGGGGACCATTCCCAGCTCACTTGGAGCACACACATCCAAATCCAAGACTAGCAACTGGGAAAGGTGTGGCAGAAAAGGCACTCCAAACCAAACACAGTTCTGGCTGCTGAACTAGGAAAATCAATCTCTTATGTTTCACATGGTTCTATCCTTATTTTGCCGAATTAATCTCTAAAGGGTCCAGCTTCTTTTTGAGAGTGAACTCTCATCCAAATCACCACCCAGGATCAGACCCCAACAGGTTTTGCCAGAGCAGAACTTCCCCACAGAATCTGAACCTTGTTGTGATAGACAGTGGCTTCCAGAGAGCTTTGCCTGGTCCTTGTTTCTGGTAACAGCTGATTTGTGAGTAGAATACATGAAAATACTTATTTTAAATTAAAAACACCCCACATTTTATAGATGCGAAAAAATCTCTGAACTGAGTCCCTGAAATAAAAAAGACTCTCCTTTTTCTCTCTTTTTTTTTTTTTTTTCTCTCTCTTTTTGTGTTTCTTCTCTTTTAGGTATCGACTCCCCTCTCCTTGCAATCATCACTGTCCCAAACAGGTCCTAGACCTGCATTTAGGACTCCCCAAAACATGCAGGTCTACAAAGCCCATGTTTGGTTAAAAAAAGGGTCAAACTGAGCAGAAAGAAGGGAGCACAGAACACCAGAAATGCAGACAAACCAAAGTTGTTAAGGCTGATTGTGAAGGAAAGCAAAAACCCATCACTTACACAAAACTGATGACAAGGAGCAGCTTGGAGACACTCTGCAGGTGGAAGCCACTGGGGCTTTCCTCGGGGATGTGCCGTGTCTGAGTGGAACCTGAGGAGATGGATGCATTTAGGACAGGGAATGCTGTCCCCTGTCCCTCTCACAGAATCGACCAGTTTGTAAAAGACCTCTGAGATCATCGAGTCCAAGCTGCGACCCAACACCACTGTGTCACCCAGAGCACAGCACTGATGCCACATCCAGTCTGTTCTTAGACACCTCCAGGGCTGGTGACTTCACCCCCTCCCTGGGCAGCCCATTCCAATGTCTGATCACTCTCTCTGGAGAGAACTTCTTCCTGAAGTCCAACCCAAACCTCCTCTGGTGCAGTTTAAGGCTGTGCCCTCTGGTCCTACTGCTGGGAGAAGAGACCAACCCCCACCTGGCTCCCCCCTCCTGTCAGGGAGTCGTAGACAGCGATGAGATCTCCCCTGAGCCTCCTCCTCTCCAGGATGAGCTCCCTCAGCTGCTCCTCCCAGGACCTGCGCTCCATCCCTTCCCCAGCCTCTGCAATCAACCCCACTCCCCCCCCAGCTCCTCTTCTCACCAAAACAGGACAAGCAGAGGTGCCTCCACCCCCTCACCTGCCACGTGCTTGATGCGATGAGCCACCTCCTCGTCGGTGGGGGTGGTGACGGGGCTCAGCACCTCCTCCAGGTGCGGCACCCGCAGGTGGCCGTGGGCGCGCTTCCTGCGGCGCACGGCGGGCTGCTTGCTCGCCTTCTCCTTGGGGGATTGTCGGTGCACCTCGGCCAGGTAGGTGCTCTCTGTCTTGGCCAGCTCGCTCTCTGCAGGGGCACAAAGGGGTTGGTTTTGTAGGGAGGGAGATTGAAGGCCTCTCAGGCAACGCCCCTTCCACCTTCTGCCAGCCTCTGACCCCAGGCTGCCCCACAGGGAGCAGGACTTGATGCCCTGGTTAATCCCAGCCCCTTTTATGAGCCACTCCAAGGTGGGATCCCCAGGCTGCCATGCCATTCCTAAACCACTGTAAGTGTAGATATCCTTCTGGAAGATTTGTAATTAGGAGATTAGGGCTTGTTTCGCTTAGGAAGCCTTTCCTGCCTAAGAAGAAACCTTTCTCCTGGATCATTTGGAATGTTTTATCCTCTTGCATTCCAAGAGGAGAGTTACAGTCTCTCTCTCTGAGATGAGGAGAGATAAACTCTCTCCCCCCAGGGCCAGGGGGGAGGCTGGCAAAGATAAAAAGCCTCCAAGACAACAGAAGGCCTGTCTTTCTGAGGCTCAGTGCTTTTTGCAGCACTGCTAGAAGGTTTTTTTCCCCTTCTAAGTCCAGTGTTCTCCACCTGGGAATAAATTTCCCAGAACTCTTTCCGCTGCTTGGCATTTCGGGAGCACACATGTGTTATCCTGCTCCACAACCACGGCAGGTGCCACTGCCTGCGTGTCACCACCACAGTCACTGCCCCACTCTTACCCAAGTGACGGAAATAATCCTCCAGGCCACTCCAAAAATTCTTCTCAATGAAGGATTTCACCAGCCCCCAAGGCTGTTTCCTGTAACGTAACTCCGTGGAAACCCTGGGAGAAGAAAGAAAGGATGGTCATCCTCCCTGTTTTGAAGTATCAACCCACACCCTCTGTCACTGGCAGACTTAAAAAGTCACAGAAAAGCCTCATAGCTGTGCCTGATACCAAATTCCTCTGCTTCTCCCCCCAAGTGCATCTCACAGGCACAATCCCTGGAATTATGTCCTGTTGCTTATCACAGGCAATGGCTGCATGTGACAACAGGCCCTGCTTCCAAGAAAGGGCAAGAGAAGTCTATAAATCCTCTCCCTGACCCAGCTGTGACTCCTCTGCATCGGGTCTGATGTTTGTTTGATGCCTAGCACTTTCCTGCCCTTACTCTTCCTGACAGGAGTGTTCCAGCAACAGGACAAAGAAATAAGGCTAAGAGTCACCCCCCCAACCCCTTCTAACACACCAAACAGCACAACTCCCACCCCAAGGTGACTTTCTGGTCACCAGAAAAGCTCTTCAATCCCCCCAAAAAAGCGTACCTGAGTCGGCTTTTGTTTCTGGCAACACGAGTCAACGTGTAGCGGTTGATGGTGTAGAAGTAATCGTGGTAGGGGACGTCGTGGGTTAGCACCTCTGCATCTATGACATAGCACTCGCTCTCCTGGCTGGCTTTGTACATTGTCTGCACAAAAGACAGCGTGCAGGGCAACTGTGAGCATGGTTAGAACACAGCTCTGACGGGCGGCACCTGCACAAAACAGCTCCACCACGAACACCTACGCCCCTGCCCCGGCTCTGCTTCTCCAGGAAACCAAGGGTTTCACCCAGATGTTCCCCAAGGGTGTATTTCAAAAGGGCTTTAAGTTCCAGCAGCTCAAGCTCCAGTATTTTGTAGCAGAGATGAGGAGATGTTCTTTGGGCCCTTTGCAAGTATGGCCTCTGTTCTAACGCCTGGCTTGTCAGGGACCAACCTGAGCCAAAGCCAGTCATGGCCCTGCTTTGAGCAGAGGCCTCTCTAGCATAAATCAATTCTGTGATTCCAAACACCACAAAAACGTGTTAATTACTTCTTTTTAAGTGCTTCTGATCTGCTTCCTTCTTTGCTCCAGAACAAACCTCACAAAGGGGTCACAGTTAATTGCAGATCCCTGTACAAAAATTTACAGACCATTTCCACTTACCTCTGCAGCAAGGGCACAGCAAGGTGTGCCTTGCTGGGTGACCCCAAACTCAGCACGAAATAGGCCATGTCTTTGTCTGAAAACGTGCTGCTCCCTTTGTCTGTCACTTTGCTGTCCCCTTTCCCTTCCCTGCACAGTCTTGGCTTCTGAACAGCACATTTCATCCCATCCTCCCCAGTCACACCTTGCTGCTGAGATTCTCCTCTCCCTGAAATCCCTTCAGACATCCCTTCCAGGCTCCCTCTTAGTACTCCCTAATACCAAACCTAACTCTCAGTATTTACCTTTGGCCACTTGAACATATTTTTGGACAGGGAAAGAGGCTTTTCCTCCCTCTCCAGCTGCAGCTCCTGTTGGATACAGCCAGCCTGGCTCCTCCCAGTGCATTCACTGCAGGTCCTTCCCTTTTTTATCTTCTTAAATATATCTCATTGTCCTCCCCGTAATAAAAACACCTCCCTGCAGAGCTGTGAGGAGGACTGGCCAGAGAGTACCTGCCTTTCTTTGTGCCCTGCTCATGAATAACATCTGCTGGGCTGGCAGCACCACAGCCCTGCTCCCCCCTCACATACCTGTGTCTCTGTGACAGTGGCAGTTTTGGGGGCCAGAGGGTTGGTGAGGGTGATGGTATACAGGATCACTCTGGTCTGATTGCCATTTTCTTCCTTCTTCCAGGGATTAAAGATAATATCTGAGGGGACAAAACAACGTTACAGTTATCAGAGAGGGATCTCTGGTCATTCTCTAGGGGAAAGCATAACCAGCTGGGGACAGTAATTCCTTGCCCTTGCAGAGGTACTAGACCTCAACTGTGTGTGAAAGAAAGGGTTCCTGAGCTAAATGGGAATATTTTCCCCTCTTGGAAGTGCAGGGAAAGGGAGAACCACAACATGCCAAGGGACACTCTTTGCACTATCAAGTGCAATGTCTGGTGTGGAGCCAGAAGAGCTTTCTCCTCACACTGCTAAGCCCTGAACATGAGATCAGGCCTTAGTTGATGCTAAAAAATAAGAGGGTCTGCTTCTTCCACGAATTTTGCTGCTAGAAAATGAAACAAGGTGGGCAAGCAAGGCTTGTTCTGCCTGCTTTTGATTACTGACAGCAGAGACTGCAAAAATCAGCTCGGAATGTGACCCAGTCCCTCCAGCAGGCAAAGATCCACCTCCAAGGCAGAGATTTCCCTTCTGCACAGACCCTGTGCCTCAGCAGGGACCTCAGGCTCACCAGAGAAGCGGCGCTGCTCCATGAAGTCCCTCTGGAACTGGGAGTCTGTGAAGAGCAGGTCGTAGAGCTTGTCCACGCTGAAGTTGAACACCTCGTTCACGTACTGGCGGCCATTCAGGTCCTCATAAAAGGCTTGGACTTCCCCTGTGGGGAGACAGGCCCTCAGTTCTCAAAACTTTACCCTTGTGAACCAGTTTTCTACCTTTGAATAGTTAGCCTTGACATATCTGTCCCCCAGGGCCATGGGGGCTGTGTTGTCCCAGGACAATAGTTGGAATATCAGAAGGGGTAATCACCTCCACAGCTTATTTTAGGGATATCCTCCCAAATACCCCACATATCCACTTTCTGCAAGCCCACAGTGGGAATCCTTTGCATCTTCTGAACTCCAGAAAAGGAATCCAGTATTTGCCACTCCAGCCCCTCACCAGAAAGGGTGTAAAACACACCGAGGGAATGGCCCTTCCCCACACACACCTTCATCGTGGGTCTCTGAGGAGTCACTGAGCTCAGTGGGAATGTCTTCGTTGTCATTGAAGTCCAGGGAAGGGGAGTTCACAGGGCCAATGATGTCCATCTTCTCTCCCATGATATTTGCAATGCCGAGGTCTTTTTCCACAGGGCTCTCTGCCACTGCCTCCTCCTCTTCTGGCAGAACTCCATCGAACTGCAGCAAGCACAGAGCACAGCGAGGGCAGGGTCAGCACCTGGGAACTGGGGCTTATTTCTGAAAACTTCCTATTTGGGAACCAACTGTCTACCTCTGGATATTTGGAATATCAGCCTTGACATGTCTGAAAGTTAAATAATAAAGAGAGGAGGAAGGTCGCTGCGTGGTGTTTGTAAAACACGTGGATATATTGGATCACCTCCTGTCAAAGAGTCAACGTTCAAGCTTTGGACACCACAAGCCTTTTTCATCCAGACACAAACAATACTAGTTTTGCTCTCAAACAAGCTGAAAAACCTGAGGTCATAACTGAACAAGGTCTGCTGTGCCGTAACACCACGAGGGCACACACTGTTTCCAGGGGAATAACTGAAGGCAGCAAAGAAATGATAACTGTTTTATCTCTCATACTCCATTTCTTTCAATTCGAGGGCATGGAAAGGAGAATGCACTTGGCCCCAGGCTATTAGGACAGGCACTCTTAGCTCACTTTTTTTTGGCCACGCCAAGACCTGAAGTCAGTGGAAGAGCAGAGCATTTACCTCACAGAACCAAGGGACCCCAGGCTGGAGGATTCCCACTCCCAGGGCAGGGAGGACACTCACCGAGGCTGGAGCTTCACTGCTCCCCGTGGATGTCAGAGTGCTGGCAGTGACAGATTTCTTTGGCAGCTGAGGGCTGGCTTCTGGCTTGGCCTCCATGCTGCTCTTGGAGGAGCTGTCGTTGACCTCGTTCTCCTCCACGGGGATTTCCTCACAGTAGCTGAGACGCCACAGAGAACACAGGTTTTTATATTTACCCCTCTCAGCACAGCTACAGCTGGACACACAGAGCAAGTGAGAACAGTTCTGTGAAGTTTCCAGCGTGGCCAAGAAGCAGAAGTGGCTCAGTGAAGCCCAGACTTTTCAGTGTTTATACACAGACCACTTTCTGACCGTGTAACCTCGTGACTGGGATGCTCTGGCATTTACACAATTGCCCAGCTGGCATTTCAATCCCTACCAACTTCCACGAGGAAATGGCAGGCTTTCAGTGTTTTAGGCATTACACATTTAAGGGCCAACATCTGGCCACATCCCAGAACCTCTCACCAGGGGCAAGCAGCTCTCTGAGGTCTGTAGTATGTCCTGCTCTCCTGGGACCACCTTTTCTTCCTCCCAGGCAGAGTTTCCTCCTCCTCCTCACTCACCCCATTGTGTTGAAGTCATCATCAGGAGGCACATAGTCTTCATCATCACTGGTCAAGCCCAGCTCGTTCCCATAGCACTGGTGGACAAAGTGCCAGAGCTCCTTTGGACACAGAGGCTAAAAGGGAGTGGAGAACAGCACACATTTGCACCCAGGAACACTAAAACAGAATGCAAGTTGGGAATTCCCGTGGTCAGGAGTACATTTCTTGCCCTGGAAGGAGAAGGGAGAGATTCCCACCTGATGGGAGGTGAGAGCCTTATGCTGCACTCACCTCTGTGAAATGCCATTTTATGGAATTTATTTTGTTAGGCCAAGATGGCTTAGAGACTGCCCCCATCAAGAGGCTCTTTTCACCAAAAACGCCTTCACCATCAGCCCAGGTTCTGCCCTAAAACCTGATTTGGTTGGGATGAGATTTTCCACTCTACAATGGAATAATGCCAGCAGCAAACCTGCATTTCCCTCCTGCCTCTTCTGCTCTGCTTCCATTTAATATCTGCTACTTTACCAAGCCCCAGCAGGGGGAACTTACAAGGAAAATAACCTTACAAGGTTATTTTCCCCTTCAAGTTTGCTTAAATTAAAGCTGCTTGAAGAATCCCAGCTGCAGGGAAAACGATTTAAAGCAGCAACAAAGAAAAACACTTCCTGTTGCAGTCTGAAATCAAAAAGAGTCTGTATCACCAGACACTGCTGTGAAAAGTATACACTTGAGATAAAAAGAGAAAATAAATTATCCAGAGTGTTGATAAAAGCCCTTTTTTTTTTAGAGATGCAGGTCAGTTGATCACCATATGACTGTGATCTGAGGTTCTCAAAAATGGGCCACAACTTGTGATTTAAATATGTGGCTGAAGGATAAAAAGGGCTGGATTTTTACCCAGGAGAAACTTATGACCAAGGACAAAGATTTCTTGGTAATGAGGGAAAACAAATCCAGTGAACTTTTTCTGAGTTGCTGGTTTGAATTTCTTCCCATAGTAACTGCACGGGATAAGGCAGGAATTTTTTAATCCAGCTCCCAAAAGTAGCAATCAAAAGCATGGAAAAAAAAAAAAAACACTCTAATGAGAAACTTTTATCCAGAAAAATGTCTGACTGTTTCACCTTCTCCCCACACACACTCTAATTGGCATGTTTTATCAGGAAAACTGGACCAGGTTCTTTGGAAAAAGAGCTCTGAAAGTCTTTTCTGTCCTTATCACTCCACCTCTCAGTTCCCATTTGCTCTGACCTTGAAACCAAGGGCACTGAACTTTGTCAGGAGCTTCCAGAGGCTCCTCAAATGACAGCACATGGCCCAGCACAAGCTGCCCAATGCAAAGCGATCCTCGTGCATCCCAAATACTCCCCCCATTTTCGGGACAGGGTATTCCAGGGGCTGGATGACTTGAGCCTCCCTAGTAAGGCCTGAACTCCAGGCCAGGACATCCTGAAATGCTGGAAGCACTGGAATATCAGTTCCTGAGGCTGAGGAGGGAGACCAGAAATACTCACCAGACTGTGGGGCAGGTATTTGGATCAAATACGGGATACATGGAGCCTCTGGCACAGCAGGAGCACATCCCTGCTTTATTTTAAAACAGCCCTGAGTGCACCCTGCACCCATCACTGCTCTCCTTGGGATTTGGGATGCCCTGAACACTTTTTTTCTGCCCTGTCTTGAACTCCACACACTTCTGAAGCACAGAACTCTGCCTGCACACTCAGCTGTTCCTCTTGCCTTTTGAACTGCTTTCTTCTGGGCTGCTTCAAAAAAAATTCCCTGCTGAGACCCAAATGTTTCCACTCCCCAGCAAAGGCAGAGTGGCACCTACAGGGTGTGCACAGAATTCCATGCAAAAAGAAGGGATTGCACCCGCAGTTACGAACATGTCCTGCCTAAAAATAGGTGCCTGCTGTCCCAATGTCCTTTGAGGCACATACAGCAGTCAGGTTACATCCATCCCCTCCCTTCCATCCCACCCAACAGGGAGGTGATGGCTTCAGTACCTTGTCAAGCAGAGCGTTCTGCCAGAGTCTGAACATCATCATGTACGTCCTGTCTCGAGCCCCAAAGGAGGTAAAAAAGTGCTGAAAGGGAAGAGATGGGGAGAAAAGTCAGTTCAGAAAAGGCCCAAAAAAGGGAATATGAAGACACAGACTGGTTTGGATCCCTTTCCAGCTGCAGTTCATGGAAGGACTGAGCAAACCACGCTGGATGTTTCACCTGGCCCCACACCCCCATCCCAGCTCCGTGTGTTCCAGACAGCAGGTCTGGAACAGGGAGCACGACCAGTCAGTTTAGAAAAATCCCACACCACACCGAATTCCCCTGCCCCCCGAGAGCCATCAGAAGTGGGAGCTTCAAGGCTGTACCTTTTCAGTGTCAGTGCAAACTTGGATGGCATTGGGAATGAGCCGTGCCGTCTTCTCCTTGGTCATGGAGCAGATGTCCTTCAAGCGAACGGTCAGCTGTGGGCAGAGCCACCCAGGAAGGAAAGAGCACGACATGATGAGAAAGACAACGAAAAGAAGCGCTTCCAGAGCAGTGCCAGCAAACCTGCTGACACCAAGCACACTGGCACACAGCCTGACAGCCTCACCAGTGTCTCCCAGCGGAAGATGTTGCTGTAGAAGCAGATCCAGTTTTCCGAGAGGTAGAGGCGGCCCTGCAGGAGGATGTCTCGTTGGAGAGCACATGAGTAATCTGTGGGTGGACAGCAGAGGGTTTAGGAGCAGCAAAAACCAGACAGCAGAACAGCCTGAAGGTGAGGGTGAGCGGCAGCAGGGAGAGAAGCTGCTCCACACAACCCAGCCGAGCCCCAGCTGCTGCTCTGGCCACTGGGTTATGTTTCCTCCCCAGGGCACGTCACACAGAGTCTCTCTCACTGACTGATGATCCTGCCTTATCAGCTGGCCCCTCTGTAGCATCCTATGTACGACTGCCAGATTTAATCTGTCCACTCCATTTTGCCTTCTAGTGTCATTGTTCACTTCTCTCCCAGCTCGAGCATCCTCAACAATTCCCACCCCTCTGCTCCGACGTGCCTCGTTCAGCAGTGGGAGACACAGCCTGAGATCAACAGTTACACAAGAGAGAAGAACAATTCTTGCACTGGGCAGCCCCTAATCAGCTGTGAGGCCCAAGCCTCAGTGGGTATGGGAAGGGTAGCCATGTGTGAGCAGGGAGCATCGGGAAGTGAGGAAACAGGGAAGCTCTGTGCCGTTCACATCAGGACCTGCAACCCCCACCCCATGAGGCCACAAAAAACCCTCTAAGACTCTTTTTGAGTATTAGAAGAGCACAAACACCCTGTCAGTGTTTGGGGAACACCGGGGAGGAAAACATGCTCCTCAAATCATGAGGGAACTGATCACAAATCAGTGCTGCTCTCCCTGAAGGAAAACGAGTGGAACCTGTCAGGAACGGTGAGGAGAGGCTCTGTCTGAGCACAACACACACAAGGGGCTTGTTCCTTGATGGCAACCTCTTTGGAGAAAGAAGATCTGGATGCACACATGCTGGATTTGCCCCCCAGCAGGACAGAGCACAGCCCTGAGGGGCTGGACTGACTTACCCACGATGAGACGCTCCGTGTCTGGGAGCTGCTTGAAGAGCTTCCTGAAATCCTCATTCCGTTGTTTGTACGTTGGACTCAACACCTGCAAATAACAGAGGGCCTGGTAAAGAGAGGGGCAGGCACGAGAACGGAGCCATGGAGAGGGAAAACAGGAACACCTCGGGAAGGAGAAGGAGGGGTCGGATGCACTCACAAAGCATGAGGCCGGCTCCCATCACAGCCAACAGAGATGGGAGGGTTTGGGATTTAGTGCATTAAGTGAGAAGATGAGGAGAACCTGACTTGGAAGAGCAAGTACAGGGTAGAAGGGCTGCACCCATGCCTGCAGCCAGGAAGCTGTGGCTGCAGGAGAAATCTCCTTCCCTGCCATCCCAAACTGCACAAGGCATGGCATGTGCTCTGTTTGCAATGCCTGTTAACTGCCAATTCCCAGCTGAGCCCAGCTACCCCAGCAAGTAGGTGATTCAGTACAGCTGCAGCCCTGCCAGAGGAACTTGAGCAACCCCAGTCATCAGCAGCTCAGGAATGCCACTCTCATCCCATCCCTCTCCCCATCGAGTGGCACTCAGCGCACACACAGCTACGTGCTGGTGTGATGAGGACACTTCTGTGGGGCTCAGAAAAGGCTCTCACAGGGACCAAACTGTGTCATGCACTTATTTTGTGCCCTGGCCTCATGGAAGGGCTCGGAGAACACGGTGCTGTTGGCCGGAGGGAGAGCAGGAGCCGGTTCCTCTTTGGGATTTGCTGAACTACAATGCCAGTGTCCGTGCCAGACCACCTCCTCCACACCCTGCCCTGCTGACAGCTGTCCAAAGCAGCCACAACAGCTTCTGAAGGCAGAGCTGCCCAAAATAGAGGCAGGTGCAAATTCCCATCTCCCAGATAATCTGCCACCTTCTTCCTTACACAAACGTAGGGAAGGTGAAGCCTCCTGGGGTACAACCTCTACCTCCCATTTCTTCCCAACAACCCTCTCCTATCTCTTCCAGCTACACAACACAAATCTCCCAGAGCAGAAAGGGACCAAAAAATCAAAGGCAGCTTCTGTATCAGACTGGTGGTGGAGGAGTCAGAGAGATGGGAGGAATGTGAATTTATTTAGCATTAGCCTCACAGAATTGCCAAATGCTGTCAAATCAAAGAAATTTTGATTTTGGCTGTCAAATCATAGACAGCCCCCTCCCCTCAGAAGCATTCCCTCTTCCTCACATCCATTCAATGAACTATAAACAGTAGATTTCAACACGAGCTCAGCACTTCCAATACTCGCTCCAGTCCTGTGGACACAAAGGAAAGGACCTTCCTTTGGAATCAAACCCGCCAAGCAGCAGATGACACAAATGTGAATTTTACTCACCAAACTTCTAGCCTGAACATCTGGAAAAGATCTTGGTCAGAGATGGGCTCCAGCAAGAGCCCAAGCCCAAGATTTCCAGGAACAAGCAGTCAGAATGGGAACGGAGTGGGGAACAGAGATTGTAATCAGCTCAGAGCTTTGGGCTCAGTGCATTAACACAGCCCAACCCAGCAGCACAGTTTCCAGGTGGAGGGGCACTGCACTAAGGGATGTTCCAGCCTGCCTAAAACCTGCCCTACAGCAGATGCTCTGCTCAGCACCAGCAGTTCTGTCAGGGTGGCAAACGGTTCAGTTTAGGGGCACTCACAGCTGGGATTCCATCCGATCCAGGGCTCACATTTCCTCGGGATAAGTCGACAAGTCCCTCCAGGTCCCACCGCAGACATGGCAGCTCTTGATCCAGCAAATGATCCCAGAGAGACCCACACTCCAGCAAGGAATCCATGGTGTTCCCTCAGCACTTGCACAGCTCCCCGTGTTCTCCGACTCCGCTTTTCCTGTTCCTGCTCCCACCGCTTCTTGTTTATGTCCAAAGTCGACAGAGATCCAGCAGCTTGGCAGGAGTTTAGGTGCCTTCCCCTGCCTTCCTGCTCACTTTCAGCTCCTCTGCCCCAGCAGCCCCTGAGGATCTCGGAGAGGACTTGCCCTCCAGAGGACTCTTTTCCAAGTGGCTCATCGGGGTAACGGTGCTGGATGGCAACCCCAGTGCTCTCCTGCTCCCGGCTCAGCAGCTCCTTGCCGTGGGCATCCCCTGCAGGAGCCCTGCAGCTCCTGATGTCCAGGGAAGGCAGAGCCAGCCACCAAAACACCTCCAACCCCACCGGAGCAGCTGGAACTCCGCGGCTTCCAGGGCTCAACAGGCTGGTAAACAACTCACGCTTCAGCTTCTCCCCCTTTCTCCTCTGAAACCAGAAAAGCAGCGATTCTTCCTCCTCAGAGTCTGCCTCGGGCTGTGCTCTCCAATCCCCCTCTGCTCTCAAAGACAGCTCAAGTCTGTGTGTGTTTCTCAGGGAAGGGGCGGGTGGGGAAGATCCCAAAATGACTCGCACATGCCTGGAGTCACTGGAGCCGGGTAATTCCGGCGGCCAATGCCCTGCAGTAACCCAGCCCCGGCCCTGCCTCCCAGCAGATGTTTCCTGTCATGGAAAGTTGCTGGACAGAGCGTGCTGGGGGAGCAGCGAGGGGAGCAAGGAGAGACAAGCCTAAGGAATCGGGAATCGGCCCTGGGAGACCCAACAGACAGGAATCCGAAGGGCTGCACCGCTCCTGCACGCATCTCTCTGCCCCAGAAAAAGAACAGGACGCTCTAGGTTTCATTTATTAGCCAGGTCACACTGGAAATGAAGGGCAAGGGCTTCCTTGCAGAAGAACTCCCTGCAAGCCCCAGGAAGACTGGAGCTCCCTGTATCCATCTCCCTGCTCAGGTACAGAAATGCACAGGTAAATGTTCACCCCAGGACACCAGTGATGCTCAGCTGTGAACAAACAAGTAAAAACCCTCATTCTTCCTAACAAAGTGGGCACACAGGGCTCAAAAAGAACCAAAAGGAAAATACCAAGCAAGCAACCAACCCAGCCTCCTCTGCAGAGGCCAGGTTCCACTCCAGGCCAGTGACTGCAGCTTGCTCGCTGACAGACACTCTGCCTGCTCAGCTGCTCCCCTAAATCACTGCTGCTCCCAGACAGCACACAGCTCTCCCCATTTAGCCCTGTTAAAAGGAACCAGCAGATCCATCTGCACCCCAAGGTGAGGGAACAACCAAAAAAATCACCATTCTGTAGCCTGGGAAGGACTAAGAATTGGGATTACAGGCACCTGCACTGCTTTACTGAATGGCCCTCTTTGCTGGAAACTGCATATGGGGTTTCATCCAAAATAAAAACCCATCAGGATGCCTCTGTCTACACCCCCCTCCACCTGCCTGTGCAGAGATGGATGACACCAGTGATGGGAAGAGCTGACCTGGAGGTGGAGGCAGCAAACATTAACTCTACTGCAAACAGAGAGAGACGGGACAGGATGGCACTGCCAGGGGCGGGGGGAAAAGGGCAGAACAGGTGACTCCCCGTGGTGACATCTCCCCCTTACACACAAACAAAACCCTCCCCAGGAGGCCCAAAGCAAATTTTGCTGGGGGGTGGGACAGGACAGGGAAGTTGGACAATGCACAAGAACTGAGAGATGTGTGGAACTGCACAGCACGTGTCACAGAAAAGGGGTGAGGAGAGATGGCAGGAGGCAGAGGGGAAAGGGGGAAGGAAAACCTTATCCAATTTGCATGGCTGATGGACCTGCTCTTAAGCCTTTAGGGAAGATTTACACTGCTTCTGGAAAACTGCTGGAAAAGAACAGAATACATTCCCTGCTTGTGTGGGAGAGTTTTGACCCCACTGACAGCAAAGGACTGGCCACCTGTCCCACAGCATTTCTTCCAAACCTAGTCTGGCTGCTCAGATTTTTCTTCTTTTTTGTTCTTTTTCTTCTTTTGAAAGCAAATGAAGAACAGAGGAAGGTGCTGCAGAGCAATCACTGGCCATGTGGGGTGGAAAATGGATTTTGTAGTCACACCAGCACGCACCAGAAGTTCGCTTCTAATTTAGTGGCTCTACAACCCTCCTGAGCCAGGCTGGCATCCCAAACCCCTAAAGCCAAGGAAAAACCTGGCAGGATGAAAACCACCTGAGAGACAGCGAGTTCATGCTGCTCCAGAGTGAGTTTGATAAAATGGTTACTGGAACTTAAAAAGATGATTGTGCTGATTTAGAGAGCAAAAGGCTGTTCCACACCTTGCTTACTCACAGTCCCAGATTTCTGCAGTAAACCCTGTTCATGTGGTCGCCGTTGCTGAGTGAGGCTCAGGCTGCCACTCACAGGGAAGGTGTTTCTGATGCTTTTCCCTAAAACGATGCACAATTTCTCTTTGTCTTCAGAGGGAACATTTTACTCTTTTCAACAGCTCGGTTTCCCCTCCACTCTGCCATCTACAAGGCCTCCAAGAAGAAGAGACGGCACAGGGCTGATTCCTCGTGGTGTTCAGTCTTGTGATGGCTTGAGGTTTTTCCTTCAGAAGCTCCAGGGCTGCCCAGAGTTCTCCACAAAGGCCCTTTGCAGCAGCACCACAGGATCCTCAGCCAGCTCCCAACTCCTGCTGCCCAGGCTTTCACTGCAGCTTCCCCCAAGCACAGCCTTGGGCTCCCTCCTTTGCCTGGGTGTGTTTTTTTTTGTTGTTTGCAGAGCTCCACGTGCACTCCTTGTGTTCCCTCTCCTGTGCCATCCCCAGGGCAGACTTTGCTCTCCCAAAGGCAAGGGGGAACAATTGGGCTCCCACTGATCTGTTCAGACCTACTGGGAGAGTTTTTAGTGGGGTTTAAGAACAATCTCTGTTCCAACACACAAAATTACTGAGTATGTTTGGGGGTGAGGTCTACTCTAATTTTTTTTAATTAATTTAAAAATACTTTTAAAAATAAAATTAAAAAAAAAATCAATTACCAGCAATTCACCATGCAGACACACAAGTCCAAAGCCTAACCCACTGCTGACCAACAGAGTTCTGTTCCATAAGAACCACAATTCTTGTAAAGCAGAGTCTCCACGTCCACAATTCCTCACTAAAGGCATGGCAAACACCTCAGGGACATTCTGCTCTTCCACCACGAGGACATGAACACAAAGCAAACCCCACAAGGTTGAGTATATTTAGATTTATTCTCCAACTGGGGTTCTCTTCTCAATCTCACGGTGCATGTGGACCAGTTTGCATTTTGTCCTCTGGAAAGCCAAGCACAGAAAGCACACCCAGACCCAGAGAGGGCAGGTCTGCAAACCAATCCACGAGCCTGGGTCACCCCTTTTCTCCCACTTCTCGACCTGGCAGGGATGTCAATCCCAAAAAAAGCACTGGTAGGATTGAAAGGAGAACACATAAGGCAAGAGAACAAGTGGCATTTTAAGGAAAAAAAAACAGAGAAAAAGGAATCCAGGAGAGGGAAAAGGGAGGGATGCAGAGCTACAAGGACAAAAAGACCAGTTAAAAGCAGCAGGAACCAAAGCCATCTTAGAAAACTGGTGATGCTCTGGGGATCTTTGAGGACTCTTTGAGGTAAGGACTATTTTTTGGTTTGTTTGCACAGTGCCTGGCACCCAGGGCTGCTGAGCTGGCACAAGGAACAATGTGGAGGGTGTTTGCTCTGAGCACAGTGGAATTTATGTAAAATGAAAGTGGGGGGAAAGCGGGGACAGGAATCTGTAAGGCTTTATGAAGAGGCAGCCTCCACTGATTCACTTCTAGAGCTGCTCTCAGAGGGGAAAAGGAATGGAAGAATCAGAAGGGTCCAAATGCCAGAAAGTCCTGCCTGGAAGGAGCTGGTAAAGAAAGGAGACTGTGCATTAGCAAGTTTTTAGTGGTAATAATAATTCCAAGTAGGACTGACTGGCTTCCTGGGGTTTGTGGCCCATTCATATTTTCACACTGCTGCTTTTATCTGGCCAGAACGTCTCTGCTAACTAGAACGTGGGTTTGCTTTTTTGTTTTGTTTTCTAAAGGAAAATAATGGGAGAATGGGGGGGAAAAAAACCACAAAAAATGCAGCCAGTGCTTACTCTCCGGATGTACTGTCTCTCATGCTGAAAATATATGGAGGAAAAACAAGAGAACAGAAAGATAAGATAGAGAGGACATGAAAACACAAGAGACCCACAGAAGCAGAGCACAGCAAAGCATCATGCACAGGGAATGGAGCTCAGCAGCTACAGGCAGAAGCAGTAATAGCACAAGTCACCTTCAGCTTGGTGACAGGGTCACCTTTTGGCAGCAGCCTGCTCAGGCTGGTGCATCTACATCCACGGTCCTTTATCTGCCACTTCTCCACTAGCCTGGCCTACCATGGTTTGTATTTTATTCTTGAAGCCACTGCCTAATCTGCTTCTGAGATCACTTCTCCTCCTGTCCTGGTTCTACCCCACAAGCACCTAACTCTGCCTCTCACACCTCTGCCACATCTGACCAGCCGCAATCCCAGGTTTCTGATGTCCCAGGCTGCAGGAGGAACTGTTGCTGAGCATTAACAGCTGCTGCAGTTGCTTTAGAGCACTCCAGGGAGGGGTTCAACCCTGCAAAGTGTGGTGCCAGCTCTGGACCACGACACTCGTGCTTGCAGCACCAAAACAGGGTCAAGGCAGAAGCAAAAGATGGTTTGTGTTCCTATGGGGTCACCAGAAAATAAACTCCTCTCTCGCCCCCACAGCACCCTGAGAGATGCAAAGGGCTTGCAGGGTTGGCAGCTGTGTTTGTCACCTCATCACCACCCATCCTGTGAGAAACCAGAGGCACAGGGGTGTGGGGATCACCGGGAGAGTGGCTGAAAAGACAAAGCTCTTGCTCTCTACCTCTGGCATCCTCCCCCTCAGGATGCCAGGCCTCCTTTGCCAGTGCTGAGCCATTTCCATCTCCGTTTGGAAAGGGTCAGAGTGCCCCAGTGCCACTGCAAAGCCCCTTTGCACCTTCCACCCCCAACCCAGCCCAGGCCCCCAGCCCAGATCCACCCAGGGACAAGAGAAACTGGAGTACTTACATTATACCAACTCTGGCTTTTCTGTAAGGACAAAATAAAAGAGAAGCATTAGTCAGCACAGAGATCTCAGGATCAAAAAGGAAGAGGGACAGAGAAAGCAGGTCCAATCTGGTTTGTGTAATTAGTGGAGTGAGAGCGGGATTAAACAGAAGATTTCAATGGGTTCCACAGTGTGG